AGGGAGAGAGACAGACAGAGAGACAGACATTAATTATCAGTCCATCAGCAGTACAGTAGTTGTTCTCTGGGTTTTGCCTGCTCACAGTGTAATGAAGTAAATGAATATATGAATATAAATATAAAAATATAAACACACAGTAATACAATGTACAGATAGAGAGAGTTCATTCATAAACATTCTATATTTTATATTATATAGTTCATGTCCGAGGTATTGATGCAAGCGATGGGCCCCGATGTTTTCCCTGCGCCGCCTGAGTTGGAGAGAGCCCACCGGACCCCGACCTCCAGATTCGGTCGGAGATCATCCCCCCGCACATTCCTGGTCTGTTTCTCCAGATTTCAGCAGAAAGAAGCTGCGTTGCGCTGGGCCAGGAATCACAAGCTCAACTACCAAGGTACCACTATAAGAGTTTACCAAGATGTCAGCGCAGCGCTCGCTAAAAAGAGAGCTGCATTTAACGGCGTTAAACAAGCCTTGTACCTGTCCTTGTAGACCCACAAGGAGGATTTGTAATGGTTTCTGGGCTTCTCTACCATAAGCCTGTGGTTTTGATTAATATCTATGCCCCAAATTGGGATGATGATAAATTTATGGGGAAAATAATTTCATTAATCCCAGATTTGAATTCACAACAATTGATATTTGGTGGCGATTTAAACTGTGAAAAAAAACAAGTATTAGACCGTTCCAATCCTAAAACTACCAACCTGTCTAAAAGCCTTTATGGACCAGATAGGAAGTGTTGACCCCTGGCGTTCTTTATTTCCACAAAGCAAGTCCTTTTCTTTTTTCTCCTCTGTACATCACTCGTATTGTAGGATTGATTTTTTTTTATTGACCATACTCTTCTCCCCTTTGTCACAAATGCTGAATACTCAACTATAGCTGAATCAGATCATGCCCCTGTAATTTTAGACCTTGCATTTCCTTCTTACAAATTAGAACGCCCCTCTTGGAAATTAGACAGAAATCTTTTAGCTGATGAGACTTTTTGTGAAATGATCTCCCAAAAAATAATAATGACTTTATAGATTCCAACAAAAAAGACACACTTCCCCATCTGTTTTATGGGAAACATTAAAAGAGGTAATCAGGGGTGAGATTATATTGTATTCTGCTAAAACAAATAAGATTCTCATCATTAAAGCAACAGCTTTGGTGGATTCTCAGTACTCCATCTCTCCCTCCCCTGAATTATATAAAAAGAAGCTAGACCTCCAAACACAATATGATTTGTCATCAACTGAAAACACAGAACGTCTCCTACTAAAATCACGGGGGTATGTCTATGAGCATGGCGACAAAGCTGGACGGCTATTAGCACACCAACTTAAGTGCCGCGCCGTGTCTCAACAGATTCCACAAATACTTAAAGATGATGGTGAACTAACTATTGACTCGGAGGAAATTAACAAAACATTCACCTCATTTTATTCAAATCTGTATACGTCAGAGATAACAAGTGACAGCTCTTTCAATAATCTCCAAGCTCTTTCTATGAAAACAAGACATAGGATTGAGACTGAGCTCCCACTACAATGTATAGAAATCATTAATGTGATTAAGGCAATGCAGAATGGAAAGACACCTGGCCCTGATGGGTACCCCTGCATATACTTGATATATTTCATGACTCTTTATCACATGGATCCCTCCCACAGACACTGACTGAAGCATCAATTACCCTATTGCTTAAGCCAGGTAAAGATAACACAGAATGCGGCTCATATCGGCCCATCTCCCTCTTAAACTGTGACGTGAAGATCTTGGCCAAGGCCCTTGCCTTACGCTTAGAAGTCACAGTGGATGACGTGATCTCTGCTGACCAGACTGGTTTTATTTGGCGTCACTCATTTACAAATATCCGCCGGCTATTAAATATTATTCACTCTCCTGCACCCAGTGCGGTCCCCAAGGTGGTTATTGCGCTGGATGCAGAGAAAGCCTTTGATAAGGTAGAATGGGGATATTTATTTACATGTTTGAAGAAATTTGGTTATGGTCCTAATTTCATCTCATGGATTAAAATCTTATATACCTCACCCAAAGCCTCAGTAATTACAAATGGTAGGCGCTCTCAGTATTTTCAGCTGTCAAGAGGCAAGTGTAATCCATGGGGGGCATAGAGTATCTCTGTACGCAGATGATTTATTAATGTATGTATCAGACCCTGTTTCAAGTGCCCCCCATGTGATTCATGCCTTGAGGAGATTTGGTGCTTTTTCTGGGTACAAACTGAATTTTAGTAAAAGTGAATGTTACCCTGTTAATGACCTGGCTCTTCAAATACAAGACAATGCTCTACCGTTCAGAATGTCTAGGAATGGCTTTAGATATTTGGGCATTAACATTACAAGGGACATGCAGACACCAGGAAGAACCAGAACCAGCTCTCAGAGGACTGTGGGGCTCAGGTGGGAGGATCGACGTACCTTGCTGTGGTATTTGCCCCGCCCCCTGTAGGTGTCGTCCTGCATCAGACTGGACAGGATGTCCTGCAGCTTCATGTCTGACAGGCTGAAACACAACAAGACCCGCCCCCCCACAGTCAGAACCAGGTGGACCTGCAGAAACAGAGTGATTGGCTGTCAGTCAACAGACCTGATGTTGTGATTGGCCAGCTCGTTGATGAAGCCGGTCTCAGCAGGGGTGAGGAAGATTAGGCTGCTTCCTTTTCCTCCGATACGAGCCGTGCGACCGACGCGGTGAACGTACTCTGCCGCCGCCGTCGGAGGAGTGTACTGAAAACACACAAACACAGAATCCCTCACTCTGATTGGCTGTACAGTGTCCAATCACAAGCCAGAACAAACGTAAGACATCTGTGTGAAGGAGCAGCTGTAACTACCTGAACAATCCAGGTGACCTGAGGAAGGTCGAGTCCTCTGGCTGCGACATCCTGAAACACACAGTAATTATATTATATATATTATAAATACAGTAAT